GAGAGATCGAAATACGGAAAACTACATAATACGCGCGTTCTGCTTCCGTCGAGTGTATGAACGAATTCATACTCTTTCGACATTCTTATCATTCGCTCGAGCACATCGAAAAAAATAGAAAAAATTTTCATTATACCGCTTCTACATAACATATATATATATATAGTATGCTATTAACAAAAAAAAAATATATATATACATATATAAAAGAGAAATAGAAAGGAAATAAATAAAAAGAAAGAGAATACAAGATAAACAAAGAGGACAGGCACTTACGACCAAGAGATACACAAACAAAAAAATACATAAATAAATAAATAAATAAAACATCTACAATGATTTTTATCCGATTGACGCTATTTGTACGAATGTTAATATTGTACTGTTATTTTTTATTCGTCTTTATAACAAGCCGAATGTCACATTATTTCAAGATACATGTATGTACCTGTAACCGATTCCAAATACACATAAATAAAAAATAAATAAATAAAAAAAAAAAAATAAGTAAATAAAAATTCGGTATGGTCGTTTTTCGAAGTTCTTTAATTAAGGATGAACACATGAATTTTGAAAAGTGAACATTATAAACTCAGTACAAATTACACACGTATGGACCATATCGTTTAACCATATCTACGAAAATCGAAAATAAACATAATCGTCTTGCTCGATCGTGTTATGTGAAGATCGACATTTTTGACAATACGCGAGTGCAAAATATGTATTATAATTATTCGACAAAAGAAATGTAATATGTTGCCTTCGAAGAACGACCTTTTCCGAACGATAAAACAACAATAATAACAATAATAACAAAATAAAATGGTCGTTCGTGCCACTTTCGTATCAATTCATTGATAACATTTTCTTAGATCTTAAGCTCTTTGCCGTTAAGTAAACGATCGATTTACATAAAGTAAGCCCTCTCTCGATCCGTATCTTCGTTGGCTCACATTGAAACAATACAACGAGTTAGAGAAATATTTCAATATTTTTTTTTTAATCCGATGAGAATTTTTTATGTTATTATAGGGCAAGTACTTTGAATTTTAAAATAGATAAATAAACAAAAAAAAATTAGTGTTGTGTATATAAAAAATATGTATGAATAATTAAAAAAAAGAAAAAAAAGAAAAAAGAAAAAAAAAAAGAAAAAAGGAAAAGGAAAAAAATAAAAAGGAAGATGGTTTTTCGTCGTAGCATGAATAAAAAATACTAAACGAGAATTTTTTCAATTTTTTATCAAGTACTTTTATAAAAAAAAAACAAAAAAACACTAATATATATATATATATATCTACATTTTTTACATTTGATTGTTCAGATCTATCATCAAAATTCATCTATCTTGAAGCGAATTACATTTGTATAAAGATTTATAAAATTGTTATTTTTATATATATATATATATATATATATATATATATATATATATATATATATCGTAAAACTCATCATTTTATTACGATATTAATCTTTGAATAAACGTAACTCGCTCTACGATCGGTCGATTTTGATGTTTACATATCCAATAGAAGTATACAATAACATGCTACGACATAAAACTATTTTTTTTTAATTCAAATTCTTATAAACATATTTCGTACACACTAATTTCTTAATGATTATTATAAACAATTTTCAAATTTTTAACAAAAAATTTCAAAGTTCTTTTTCTCAAATATTTCTATGACTCATTGTACATAAATACATAGACATAAAAACGATGATTATTACGAATTGCTTCCTGAAAGATCTATCTATAAATCTATAAAAAAGGAGAGATTAAAGTAACGAATATTTACGCGAACCTCTTAAGATAGTATAGTATCGAATAATAGTGCGTGTGCATGTGCGTGTGCGTTTGAGAGGAGAGAGAGAGAGAGAGAGAGAGAGAGAGAGAGAGAGAGAGAGAGAGAGAGAGAGAGAGAGAGAGAGAGAGAGGGAGAGAGATGGAAAGACAAAAAAGAAAAAAGAAAACAAAATGGCGAGAAGATACGAAAGTTTCACATAAATATGACTTTCGATCTTTTTCGATTGTTCGTAAAGTGCTCGGATGGATCTAACGAAGGAATTACATATCATGGCTGCGTCTATAGACTCGTGAGAATGCACTTAGTACGGCACAAGAATGTTTAATATAATCTATAAATAAGTGCGACGCGAATACGCTCGAATGTGACCGGTTTAATATTTGCGATGGTTCATTCATTCTATTATTCCAATCGAATCTCGTTCAAAACCCAGCTACGAATTCTGTATTCGTGAAAAAAAAAAGAAAAAGAAAAGAAAAAAGAAAAAGAAAAAGAAAAACAAGGTGAAATGCGAATTAAATGATCTTGATTCTTGGCAGTAAGATTTCGTTTTGTACTTGTTAGCATATCCCTTCTTTTCTTTCCTTTTTATCCATTTCGATTTAAAAGTTAATCTTAAAACATCAACTGGGATAGAGTAGATTATATTATACAAAGGAAATATATGTATTTGTTTTGTGTAATATCTCAAATGACCTTAACCATTATCATAATCACCGACTCGATATATGAGTATAGATCGCGTGTAAACATTATACGTATCTATATTTTCTAGATTTAGTACTCCTAGAAGCATTCTCATACTTTCGAAGCAACAAGTTTCAATCGGCTCATGAATTATATATAATATGCTTTTCTCAATGGATAAAAGTTCATATTAAAATCTTATGTTGATGTGTTTAACGTCTTATCGATTATTATACGTATGTATATAACGTACGTGTTACGAATAAGTAAAAGATCTCTTTTATATACCTGCATATACATATATGTACTACTATAAATCGAGACTCACTTCCTGTTCTTCGCAGGACGAACGATAATAACACATACTTGAAAGTCGAGTACATATACTCGACTAAGTTCCCGATCGGTGGGAGTGGCAAGTAAAGTAAACAAAACGGGACCAATCGGGAAGAAAGGCTGGTCCGGCTGATGTTTGTCTTTTTACCCTCCCCCTATATCCCCTTCTTACTTTAAGGGATGCTGGAATCGCACCCAAGTCGACACCCTGTACATCCCTCTTAGCCAATCGTCTGTTTCTTGCGGAAGAAACTAAATCCCGGAGATTAGCTTGGAGATCTTCTTCCTTCTTATCCACTGAGAAAGTTCTTCAGTCTGTGATTAACGATTGTACGAGATCATTGATCATTGGAAAAGCATTTTTTTTGCCTATTTAAATTTTCTTCATCGACGAATCACGTGGATATTTTTACAAACATTTTCATATCTAAAATATTATATCTAACGCTTTGTATTATAGTTTTTTTTTCTTTCTTCGTTCTTTTGCTATATAATCAACAGTGACGATTTTTTTAATATAACAAAATGAAACGCGTGTGTAAAAGATATTACTAAATGTTGTGTCCGTTCCATGTGAAGAGTCAAATAATATAAAAGACTGATTTTCAAAACAAACGATTTATATCGATGCTGCGTACGAAGAGTAAAAACAAATCGACAAATGAGGCTAATGAGGAACAAAGTAAGCAAAGAAGACCGAAATGTGCGCGTTGTAGAAATCACGGTTTAATATCGTGGTTAAGAGGACACAAACGAGAATGTCGTTACAGGGAATGTCTCTGTCCAAAATGTTCCCTCATAGCTGAACGTCAACGAGTTATGGCTGCGCAGGTAATTTTTATATTATCGATATTATCATTATTATGATTATTATTATTATATTATTATTATTATCTTTAGTGTTTGTGCATGAGAATGAAGAAACATTGTTATTTTCTTGTTTGGTCTGTCTTTTAACGTCACATAAAAAAAAGAAAGAAAGAAAAGAGAAAGATGAAAATGAAATCCATTAACCCGCGGTGTAGCATTTCATTTCTGTTTGCATAGGCATTATGACACTCGATCCTGTCCCTACTACATAGGTGTGTATATGTGTATGTATGTGTATATATATACATATATATATATATACACATACATATATCAAAGCGTTCGATCTTCTCGAGATAAACTCTCGTAACTATGTAAAAGTAGTAGTGATAGCTGTGAATCTGTAATGAAATATACACGAAGGGATGCGAAAATGTATTTTAAAAAGAAACTACTCGAAAAAATGAGAAAAATATTCTTTATTTTATATATCTAATAGTATAACAGATTCGCGTTAATAAACCAAAGATAATCATTAGGATCGCATTAATCGAAAATTGATATAATAGACGTCGATAACGTAGATATCTCTGTAAAAGACGAAAAAAGAATCTAGTGGGTGGTCCAGCTTGAAATAACGCGTGCCAAATGCGTCCATACGTGTGTAGACACATTAGTACGTTGAATGCTAATAATAAAAGACATACATATGTAGAGTATCGAGTAAACGATGAATCAGTTTATAAAGAAAAGAAAATGAATTAGCTTGCGAACTCGATTCGATATTTCCGAAAGTTGTTTTAACTAAAGGAAAAAAGAAAAAATAAAAAAGAGAGAAAACGAAAAGAAGGAAAAAGAGAATGAGAAAATAAAAGTTACTATTAAAATGTATCGAATATAAGGTCGCTTTGAAGAGACAACAAGCTGCCGAAGATGCAATAGCCTTGAGGATGGCGAAAGTAGCTACAGGTGAAAAACTCAACCGACTTCCAGCAGGGAAAATATTTGGGATGGCTGTGACCGAACCGAAAGGAATATCTAGTCAAGAAGAAGAAAAAGATAAGGATATGAGTCCTCGAAAAGTCGATTCTCCATTGGATGATTCAACGAAGAGGGTAAGTTTTAGTAGAGATGAGAAAGACTGGATCAGGCATATTTTTTATCACAGAGATTCCCAAAGTGTGGGTCGCGACCAATTGGTGATTTGCGTTAAAATATTAAAATATGAGAGTATTGTTATGTATTCGTTAGGAAAATTCATTAAGGACAGGAGTCGATCGCAAAAAACGATCGTATTCGAAAATGGCTCACGGCCCATAAAAATTTGGGAAGCCCTGGTTCTATCGCTATCATATACCAGGAAGAAGATATTTTCTTCTTCAGAATTCGACTGACGAGGGAACGAGATCGATGAAAGGAGTAATAAACGGATCGATGGATAAAGAAGTTTCGGTATCCCGAAGATCAATCGAGACTTTGGCTCGTCTCTTTCCTAGAACTAAATTATCAGTCTTACAACTGGTTCTCCAACGATGTGGCCAAGATCTATTAAAGGCAATCGAGTATTTTGCTAGTGAAAGTTTTGGGATTGGTTCTATGTCCAGTGCCGAGGTTCCAACCTCTGCCTTTAGACCACCTCAAACGCAAGTTACATTGGATCGAGAAAGACCGACAAATGATATAGATCTATCGACCAATAATCACTTCTCTCCGACTTCCTCGAATTTTACTAGAAATCTTTATCTTGAAGATGCTTATCGACTTCTCAACGTCCTACCTGAACATCTTTCCAAAAATATCAGTCCAAACACCGGACCAACAACTTATCCCACATCGATCATACATCATTCCGATTCATCAGATCCCTCGACTCTACCAATCTCTTATGATCGAGAAACCGTTGCCCTAACCGTTCGATACAACGATTACTTTGCTTCCAGCATGCAACAACAACTTAGAGATCGTGTTTATGCTCAAGTTACCGATCGTCTTGCCGATCATCTTGCCGATCAGCTCGCACCACCTAGATCAGCTACTTTACATTTACCACCTGTATTTCCTGGTATTCCTTGTGTCCTACCAAATTGCACTCAGTGCTCCTATAATATACTCTGATTCGTTCCTCGATCCTAACGTTATTAATTACGATAGAAGAGAACTGCCAAAATTTTATCATACTTGAAAATATTTTTAGTTATATCCATTTATTTTTTACGAATTTTTATGAAAATTAATATCAAAGATTGTCAGTCGATTTTTTAAAGATATCTGATATGTTAAATTTTTAATATATGCCTATCGATGTCTATAGGTATTTATATCAAAAAGAAAAAAAAAAAGAAAAAAAAAAGAAAAAAGAAAAAAGAAAAAAAAAAAAAAAAGAAATTGACCATCACTCATTTGGCAACTCTCTTCTATCTCTATGTTCTAAAACTTAACAAAAGAACTAAGAAATTCTTTAAATTTAATACAAAGAACTTTTATCTTTGCAACGTATATTTTAATAACGTAATATATGTGTAGTACTCTCTCTCTCTTTCGCTCTCTCTATCTCCCCCTTGTAAAGATTTGATTTCTTTCTTGTAAAATAAAAAAAGAAAAAAAGAAAAAAAAAAAAAAAAATAAGGAAAATAAATCAGCTTATTTTTAGTTGCACATAAACTTATTTCGTAATCGTTATTAAAAAAAAAAAAAAGAAAAAAAAAAGAGAGAAAAAAATCGTTCTTTTTATCTTTCCGCTCGAGATCGTATTAAATGTCACACACCTGTATATAACGAACTATACAAATCTTTAATGTTCTCAGTTCGTTGTGCATAAAATACATATATATATATATATATATATATATATATATATATATATATATATATATATATATCGTATAGGGTTTAACGAATCTTACGAACCGATAAGGTAATTTCTTCTCAACAGGAAAGGTTCGTCTTCAAAGTTCAACGCAACAGTTAAGTCAATTCGAGCGTAGTAAAGCATGCATCATTTATTACGATACACTTCAACGATTGACCTTTGATCGTGAAGCGTAAAATAAAATACAGATTGATCAAACCGATGACCATCGAAATTCTTTTTTTTTTTTTTTTTTTTTTTTTTTTTACTGGTCATAACACTTCGTCGTTACACACATTTTCATTAAATACTTTTCGTTCTTCTAAAATGTAATTTAATTAAAGTTGTTTGAAAAATTTTTACTTTTTCTTTTTTTCTAAAAGGAATATGTACTTTTAAACCGTACTATATTATTATCAGTTTCCGTGAGAAAAACCAATGGGTTCTACCAAATAATAGGGATTCCGTAACCGAGTTAGAAAGATTCGATTTTCTATATAAACAGAATCGGCATCGGTTGAACACGAGAGTCGATGCCCCGAAGGGATTTACTTTGGCTTCACTTTTAGGAACAGAAAATACAGTGATCCCTCTGCCCCTTGGGAATTCGTGATCCATCGTGCTTCGAATTACTAAATACACGTTGAAACTTGACACTGGGGTGATAAGAAACATAAATCCTTTTATATGTATGTGTGTATATATATGTATAGGTAATCTTTTTTTTTGTTTTTACGATCAATAAAAATCGAATGGAGAAATTGATAGGATAATTCTAACGAATATGTAGCTTTCAAATGCATTACATGACATATACAAGATTTTATTTATTTGGCTTTTTAATAAACTTCTTTTTCACCGTAACACTGTTGAATAACACTTTTGGTTTGTGTATGTTATTACACCAAACATTTTACATTAAACCATATTACATATTTCATTTATATACGTATAGGCGTATATATAGTCTGCTTTCCTTAAAACGTATTACTTAACGATAGGCACATGCGTTTATATTAGTATCACGAACCTATGATAATTCATTTTGTATGTTTTATGTGTGTGTGTGTATATATATGTATATGTATGCGCGCACGCACGCACACACACACACACACATACATACATACACATTAAATGAAAAAAAATCAATATCTCGTACTAATCTGCCAAATCATTTGAAAAGGCAGTATGTACAATTGTCTTTGTATATTATGTTCACTATATGTATTAATAATAATACTCATTCTTTTGGATATGTTTAAAAATTTTATACCCATAAAAGGCAAGTGTTCTCTTTGTCGAAGCAATAAAGAAATTTGCAGACTCGAAATCTAATATACATAATTTTTGTTTTGAAAGAGAATATGCTATACTATCTTGCAAATATATATACAACGATCTTTTATTTTTTATATTCTATATACAATTTGCGTTTACGAAAAGTACCCAAAATGCAAATTTTATAATAGTAGTCTATCATTGACAACTATTTCGTTAGCAGTCATATCGATTTAAAATCGTAAATGAGGCTTATTTTTGATCATGTGCCTGTAATAATATAATTCATAAATTTAGTTTTAATAGATTACATGACTACATGAAAAAATCAGACAAAGAAAATATTTACTTATCCAAGTGTTCCCAAAATATCATCAATGCAGCTCTATCCAAATGCCTTTTTGTCCTGCTTAATTCAATTACTGTAACAGCCCAACGTGCAACATTTGCATCTAGTCTCATTTCATCGTATTTTAAATGAAATGCACAAACTGCAAAAGAATAATTGTTTTTTTAATTATATAAAAATAAAATATTGCAAAAATTTGTCTTTTCAAATAAAATAATCAACGATGCATACTTTTAGAGAATATCTCAACCGGATTACCATCGAAAGGCCAACCTTTAAATTGCCATGCTGGTCCCATAACAAATACTGCTACAACCCTTTCCCAATCTGCATTCGTTAATTTTTGTGGATTATCAACGATGCGATATGGAACTGTCAAACCACCTTCTTTGCGACGTTGTAAAAGAACTTCATTTTCTCGTTTACAACCTTGAGTTCTTTTATCTTCATTACTCACATATTTCAGATCTTGTAGAATATCCTTGGCGTTATACATTGTAATCAAAGAAGTATTTGCACTAGGAATAATAATGATAGGAGTTCTACTGGGTCTTTTATTTTGTGCAGCTTGTTGAGGTGTAAGTTTAGCAGCAGATGTTGGTAATAACCCAGAAGTTGGAGTCGTGGATGGATTGGTTTGTGGTTTTCTTACTGCTGGATTAGTACCCTCTGTTACAGATTTTAGGGTCATTCCATGATAAGTGCCCATAGTATCAATTTTAAATCCTTCTGTTTCTTCTTTTTGTCTAATAAATCTTTCCTGATCATATCTATTATAAACAGCCGGTTGTGGTAACGGTCTCATAGGAGTAGAACGCGGAGTAACCATTGGGGTAGGAACGGCAGGACCCTTTTGTCTTCCCTCTTCGCGAGCTTTAATACTTTGGAGAATCGCAAATATATTCTTTGCAAATATTTTACCGCTACTTTGTAAAATTGTTGCACGTGTTCGCCATTGTCTTTCTCTCGAAACTATATCCTTTGTATCGTCTACATCCATATCAAGAATAACACGTAAATCCGAGCCCATACCAATATCGTCATTTTCTTTGATGGTGGTACGTTTCTTAGCCAATCGTTTAGCCTTAATAGCAGCAATCTTTTCAACTGACATAGCCTCTGAAAGAGACTTGATATTGTCAACTGTGACCGATGCTTCTTTAGGAGCATCGAGTCTTGCCGCAAGTTGTTCCTTAACTTTTTGAACATGAGTTTCTTCAAAACGAGGTTTCTTAGAAGATCCACTCTCCAAACTATCTTCTGCTGTACGTTTTACTTGAGTCGGAATCTCCAATGGAGCTGACTTATCTATGGCGGCTGATGTGGCAGTTTCTCCATTGAGATAGGCCAAAAGATCCTTTCTATCTGGACGACGTACGACAGGAACCTTTTCTGCAGCAGCTTGTCGTACATATACAGGATGCGTAAGTTGTACATGTTTTAATAAGAATAAGAGGCACTCTAAAGTATAATATTCTTTCGCCGTTCCTTCTTTACCGGATCTATAAATATATACATATAGTGAATATTTTGCTAAAATTAAATACTTTAAAATATATTTTAAATTATCTGGTATTTTGTATGAAACATTGCTGCATCGGATTATCCTGATAATATATTATAAAAAAGTTTAAATACTTGACAAATAGCATTATAAGATATAAAGATAAAGATTTTTCTGATACTTATATTTGACGATGTACTTTTTCTATCCATTGTTTATTTCTATATAGTATTATACGATATTCGACATTTAATCCTTTAATGGTGATAATCAGACAGACTGTAGCTTATATAAATATTTATCGGATTATTTTCTTAGAAAAACTTACCCGTATGTTAAATAGTTGGTCTTTACGTTCTTTGGCCAAGAAAATTCACCAAAAATAATCTGATTTTCCCGTTCAATAATTTCTTTTTTGTTAACATTATATTGTCGAAGCAAACTCAACGGATCGGCCATGATTAGACACTACATTCAACAACGACGTCTGGTGGCCGACCAAAGAGTTACTAAGACAAACGTAAATTTACATGAAACGTGAATAATTCTTTTCTATTGTACTTATATCGTACGTTGAATATAATGCCTAATGTTTTTAACTTCATGTTGACAGGTAATACTTCATATACACGTATACACAGTTAAGCGTACTCGAGAAAAAGATTGTTACAAAGTGGTATAAACTTTTTATATTTTCTTTTGTAGAATGACAAAATTATAATCAATCATTGTAAAAATAGATTGTGTCGACCAAATAAAAGTTTTCAGATGAAATAAACGTAGTAAAAATTAGGCAAATTGAGATTATTTATTTGTTTGTTTATTTGTTTTTTTTTTCTTTTTCTTATAAATTTTCCGATCATTTACGTGCGGAGTGAAATGAAAAGTGTGTTATCGAATAATCCAAAATTATTAAGGGTATATATAATTGTAGGAATACAATAACCTATTCTGACATTATATTTTATTCATATGTACGTGAATAGATTGTAAAGATATTAGAAGGCTAACAAATCTTCAACGGTTTATTCTCTAAATGAATATTCTTCAAAGGACAATGAGCTTTCCGGAGAAACAGGATGGTATATCTAAAGACGAGTGGGTCGCTAAACTTGAAGAAGGATCGCATATGCAGAGAGTCTCTATGAATAATTTGATAATGAATTATCTTGTAACTGGTACTTTTTTTTTTCTATTATTCAAGAATAATTTACCTTTAATCACATTATATCTCTTTGTAATAGATGTTATGTCTTTTTAGAAGGGTTTAAAGAAGCAGCTGAAAAATTTCAACAAGAATCTGGAGTTGGTCCGACAATAGAATTGAGTTCATTGGATGATAGAATTCGTATTAGAGATGCTATACAAAATGGTCGTATTCAAGAAGCTACGGATTTGGTCAATCAATTGCATCCTGAATTATTGGACAATGATAGATATCTTTATTTTCATCTGCAACAATTACATCTCATCGAATTAATTCGTACTGGGAGAATCGAAGAGGCATTACAGTTTGCTCAAGATCAACTTAGCGAAGCTGGAGAGTCAGATGATAATATATTGTGCGAATTGGAACGTACGTTGGCTTTGTTGGCTTTTGATGAACCACATAAAAGTCCTTTCAGCGATCTTCTTCATCCTACTCATCGACAAAAGGTAATGGCCTAATTAAGATATTTTATTTTTTTGTTGCAATCTTTTATTACTATTAATAAATACTTACAATTTTACTGTGTAGATTGCCAGTGAACTAAATGCTGCTATATTGAAAATGGAACATAGAGAATCTACCAGTCCAAGATTAAATAATCTATTAAAAATGATTTTATGGGCGCAAGATGAGCTGGATAAGAAAAAAGTAAAATATCCTAAAATGACTGACTTGGGTAGTGCAACTATTGAAAGTCCAAAATAATACTAATAAATTGAAAATAGGTACTTCGATGAAATAATAAGATTTTATTTATTAGTATCTATAGCGGACGAATATTATATATTAATATTGTTATTACGTAAAAATTAGATTTTTTAATTATAGAATTCTTTGAATTAAGCGATTTTCTTTTTTGTTTTAAATAAAAAAAAAATAAAAAAATAAAAGTAAAAAATAAAAAAAAAAGATAGAAAATTTCATCATACTCTATAATAGATTTGAAATTTTATAACATGTCATATGTAATAATAACTCGATATCTATTAATATATTTAGAATAAAATGTGTATATTAATTCTTTATATACATTAGAATTATTTCATTATACATCGTAAATCCGTCATTTTTATCATAAATTCAATATAAGCCTAACAAATATACTCGAATACCATATCTAAGTAAGAAACAAGTGCAAAATTACCATATTCATAAATTATACATCACTATCTTACAAATAAACGAATAGTTTTGTCATATGTTTCATAATATTTAAGAAATATATGTATCATGTTGTAGCATAAGATTTAACTATTATTCACACTATGTGTATTTAATATAACAATAAGATTGGACAGTACCATATCAACAGAGAATCATTTTGAGAAGTTATAAACAATATTACTTTTACTTTTTTAAATTATTCAGCAGTTATTCAATGTTTATTTTAAAATTTTCAAAACAGTGCAATAAAAGTATAAAAATTTAATAATTAGAGAACATGAATTATAAAATATTTATTTATCCCTAGTTAAGTAAATATTTTTAATAATGTATTTATTTTGATTAATGTACATTTTTTTTTATAAAAATTAGATTGCAATTGAACTTCACATAACTATGATATTATAAACATTTTGATTACCATCCAAACATATATTCCATTGCTTTGGAAACTAAACCAGTAGATTTTTGTGGAATATTTTCTGGTGATTGTACTGATTGTGAATTTAAATGTTGACTATATCCAACTGCAAGAGGTCTTGCATTTTTTATTCTAATTGGTGTATGCGGTGTACTCTGATCTTTACTTTGATTAATTTTATTAGAAGTACCAAAGGATCTCATACTTCCATTTAATTTGGAGCGATTTTCTTTATCATTGCTCAAAATAACAGCTTCATCGGTACACGGTATTACGCCAATCATAATTGACCCAGAAACTATACTACCATTACATGCTAATGCTCTTTGTGTTTCTTGTTCGGACGCACATTTCAAATGTATCCAATTGCTTATTGGCAAAGGCGGTGGATGTTTATCTATTATACGAACTTTGCTAGAAATATGAGAAAGTACTGTATTAATAGCGTTTGGAGGAAAACCGAAGACAGTAACCCATTGTAAAAGTCCTTGGGATTCATTAGCATTCAAATTCAATGGGCTATCTGGGAATAACATACTGTTGATTGAATTCATTAACATTTTTGACTGATTTGGATAAAAATTTGGTGTGTTTTGATTTGATGTTACTTTATGAGTCGTTAAAGCCGGCGAAGTTTCTATAACATCAAACAATCCACGAGTCGGCGGTCCACCGGCTTGATTTTCTGCACCTATTTGAGATGTATTCGGCGTAGTAGCATTTCCAAAAACAGCCTTCTGACGATTAATACGATAGTCTGGTGTGCCATATTGTGAGACCGGCGACATTATACTACAATTGGTTGCATTCAAATGCCTTATACTATTATCTTGAGGACTTGTTACTCCTATTTTGACGGGCTAATCAATAAAAATTACATTATATTTATATAAAAAGAATTTAAAAGTATTGTTACAATTATATAAAAGAAATTATTACTTACAATATTTGTATCTCCTAAAAGAAAACTTGGAAGATACATGGAGGTACCGCCAGGGCTACATGGATTTTGTACTGGGCTACTAACAGGTGATCCTAAAGTCATAGGCTCCATCTAAATAATTATTAAAAATTATATAACTAATCTAAATTAATTCAAATAAAATTCTAATAAGAACGAAATAAATTATTATTTTCAATGGATTTCATTAAATCATACAATATCATAAATGATATATAAGAGAGTTTAAGGTTACACATTTTTTAGAATTATTTTCAAACAATTACTTACTGTCATAAGAGGTATGAATATTGGCTAATAAACTCTATTTTTTTTTAAATTAAATACTTCAATTGCGTCAAACGCAACTAACGATCAAGCATATGAGCGTTTTGAATATTTCAAATGAAACTATAAGAAAGGTTTCACTTTAACGATCCTAGTCACCATTTGCATGAGTACATGCTTGTTCATTGGCCAAAATTATTCTAGCCAATCAACGAACAAATATACACAATGTAAGGACAGCTATTGGTTAACTCTACACACATATATATATATATAGAGAAAGAGAGAGAGAGAGAAAAGTCATAGAAAAGATATTTTTTTTCTCATCAAGGTTTATAATCTATTATTATAAAAAATTATATTAAATAAAACTTTGACAAATTTTGACGCTTACCAAATCAGTATTTCTTCGTACTTCGACGACTGAATATCGAAGTTTTCTCTTTCTAAATATGAAAATTTATACATTAATCATTTCGGTAATTTTATGATTATTTAAACAATATATAATGTACACTGAGTACAATAAATTAATATTTAAACAATAATACATTCATTTAACCATTACAAAGATCGTAAAGCGCGAAAAACTTCAGATAATTTTCAAATAAATTCCACACTAAAAAATTTTCATCTAGGGCTTGTGGATCGTATAGAACATACACACGGGTATATAACATACTCGTGTATATAAACATACATGGTCCTCCTTCTATTATTTTGGCAATTATCGAGTTAGTTCTTTTTTGTACTTCGACGTCTATATGTTGATACTATCTCTTTTTAAACGTGAGAACTTATAATTTACTAATTTCGGTATTGTGTAATTATTTAAACAATCTTTAATGTAATACAATGCAATACAATAAACTAATATTTAAACAATTTTACATCCGCTTAAAAATTACAAAGATTATAAGAAAACGCGCAAGAAACTTAAAATAATTAAAATTTTTTTTGCATTAGATTAAAATTTTTCACTAGCGTTTCATAGTTATTTGCATTGTAATCATGCACTTAGCAATGAAGTAATCGATTGTTTTTATTGATAAAATAATAATATCACCAAGTAAAAGCAGTGTTTAATCGTTTCTTTTCTATTAATGCGGAAAAGTGTCAAAGTATAATTCATTCAATATTTATCATCCTTCTATAGAAGAAACGAAGAATTTTGTTGTTGATGTTATTTTTTATATCTTATATTTTACGTTATATATTGTCAAGTAATTTTCTCCTTAAATACGCTTTAGATATTTGTATAATTAATAAGAACAAAAAGTATGATATGTTTATACAATAAACATACACTTTTCCATTGATCTGTTTTCGGAGAAGTATAATTTGGAAAAGGGTTTTTTCTTGCTTTCTATCAAATTTTTACTATATACAAAAATTTCTGTCACATATCAGCTCAATTGTTAGATTATTCTTGTGAGAGAGAGAGAGAGAGAGAGAGAGAGAAAGAGAAAGAGGTATATTCTAAGAAGTTTATTCATCGATGCAATAGGCGATAGTGAGTGCAGTATTTCCCTATTGCGCTTGTAGTTCATATTTTGTCCATCTTGTCGCTGAGGTCATATTGCTCTACGAGCGAGAGCTAGAGAACAGCATTAAATGATGTTTGTGTATAGCTCAATGTTTATTATATTTGGATTATTTTTCATGCTTTTTTGTGACACATCTTTAGCAAAATGTAATCCAATCAGCTTTTGTACTTGCGTCGTTCCTAGTAATGAAGTTAAGAAATTAATTAACCTTATAGATAAAGGGTTTGTATGTAATATTAACCTTACTTTATCTCTAGTAACTGTATTGCACAACAATATTAATGGATTATTGATATTTAAACTTTACAAAATTATTAATAAGTACATTTATGATATTATTTTTTAGAATATTAGACAAGAAAGTGTCTCATACATTGTATATCGATTTTTGTGCAAATGTACCAGTAAAAACTAATGATGAATTCCAGTGTACTAAACAAAATGGATCGGTAATATGATGAGAAAACAAAGCAATTAAATTGTGAATTGTCTTATTCGATGCTTTGTTATTGTCTTCATTTATGTATATATATATATATATTTTTTTTTTTTAGTATTTGTATTAATGTTCATCCTTTCTTTTTTATAGCTCTGTGCTACTACTTCTTACACAACAAAATTTACTGACTTAGGAATTGTGAATCAGTCAAATATAGATTTGGTATTAGGATACAATGATATAACAATATCTATTATTAATCCAAATTCAACTGTTAATGTAACAACAACCGTTAATTGTTGCACAGGATGTACCACACAATTTGTTTCCGATAATATTATCTATCATGTATGTCATAAGTGAATATAGAAGAATTTATATTTCTTTTATTCAAATTTTTACATATACAAAAAAGATGGTATAATATTATTTTAGGTTCCACCATCAGGGACAATAAATCCATGTAAAAAAGAAATGTCTACTGGCACCATTTCTATGGGATCTACTTTAGTAATTCTATTATTTGTGTTCAGTGGATTATATTTTATCGGTGGTGCGATTGCATTAAAATTGTTAAGAGGTGCAACCGGTTGGGAAATGTTACCAAATCATGAGTTCTGGTGTGATCTTCCATCGCTTATTCGAGTAAGTATAGCATATTATTAAAATTGTAAATAAATTTGCAATAAAATCCAATTTTTATTATCTTCTTGTAGGATGGCATTACTTTCACATTTAACTGCTGTAGAGCAGATAGTTACGAAAGAATATAAATCTCTAAGGCAATTCTATTTATATTATTTTTTTATACTATATCTAATGTGTACAAACTTGGCCCTACTTTATACATCTTTAAATAGTGTGTTTATAAATAACCAAAATGTTAAATCTTTCTCTAGATTTTTAAATTGTGACATATCTGTGCTATGACATTTGATAATGGAGATAAAAGTTATTTAATATAGCATATACAGTTGCTTGTTACTAATGTAATTTATAATCTGAAAATTTTACTATTTTGTGAACATTAATTATTTTACATATTTTTTACAGTATACAAGCATATACATGCATCTATAATCACACACTACATACACACACACACGCACACACGCATATATATATATATATATATGTTTATACCTATATATATATTCACACATATATATATATAGACACATATATTTTATTATTTTTGCCTACATATATTATCGTGTACATACTATAAATGAGAGAATGTGATATTTGTTATGGATTTAACGTATAAATGCTAGTATATATTATAACATTAAGATACAAAAATAAATCTCAATTAAGTTTCTTTAAGCAAAAGACAATGTAAGAAGAATAAAGAGTAATAATGAGATACCAAAGATAAATTTTTATTTATTTTGCTTCATTTTGTAAAGTATCGTGAAAATTTTAGGATAATGGGGATAATTATTGTAAGACAATATACTTTAGGCTTTTTTAAGAATATAGTAAAAACGAATGTTTTATGATAAGGTATTGTTATTATAGAAAAGTATATAAATTTATTTAAATGTTTTATAATCATAAAAGCAAGATCTCACATTTTTCAATAATCGAACAATAAATAATTATTTCACGTGTGAAAATGAATAAAATCTTAGAAAATTAGACTCTAGAATAATTTGGTTGAATGAAATATAAAGAAAAAAGTGGCAATGAGCGATCTCGTTGATTACATTTTGTTTTTAACATGTGTATGTACAAATTTCGAACTTTTCTAAATTTTCCACACGATAAACTACACAAACTTTGTTTGACATTGATTCAAATATAATATTATGTCGTTTTTTTTTTTAATTTCATTATTTTCTTTTTAGATAAGAAATTTCTAAAATACTGAGATGATTGAACAAAAATAACAATCTCATACTTTTTAATCATTCAATGGGTGTATAGCTGATGGTCATTGCCTCCAATAAATACATAATCCATTTTAATAACTTTCGATACCATCAACAGGAATAGAAACTTCTCGATCAGTTTGTATGACTATCCAGTTGCCATTGGCATTTAAACCACTTATGTTAATACCCTTTGATGAAAAGACATTAACAATATCAGCTACACTTTGTACGCTGTTTGCACGGTACAGAGAGATATGATTCGTCAGTGTTATGTCATTAGGGAAGAGAGCATCGTCAACTGAGAGTAATAATGGCTGGTTATCACGAATTGTTCCTATATAATTAATATAAAAATATAAAAATGAATAATAATATTGTACTTTCATTTTCTTTTTGAAGTATAACAGATTTAATTCCATTTTCATTACCTTTTACTTGATGTGGTCCAACGGTAACCAATACCGCCCTGTGATCACCTGGCATATGACTATCTTTTAAATCAACACCAATATCTTCAGCCAACATCGGTGCATTGATCAAATTTAAACCATTTCTTGTTTGCCCCGTAAGTATTCCAACTAATACAGACGTATGTATGAATTTCTTATCCTCCATATCTGGGCCAACAGTTTGGCTTTGTACAGTTGTGTTCAATTTTCCTTGAACGAGTCTTGCAGCTAATTGGCCGAGTTTCTTTGATAATTCTATCCAAGGTGCGTTATCTTCCGTCATTGCGGCAGCTAAAAGAGGAGCATTGACGATACCACTTACGGAATACTCCATTGTCTTTCCGGATAAAGCTAAAAATTGTTGAGCTATTTCAACGGCGACACGTTGTTGAGCTTCGGCTGTGCTAGCTCCTACAATGAAAATGGATTTATGTCATTTTTTCATTCGAGTTAAAAACGAAGAATTAAAAACAAGAAAGATAGATGACCAACCAAGATGTGGAGTAGCAATAACTTTAGGATGTTGAATGAGCTCAATGATAACAGAATTCTTTGGTGGTTCTTCCGTAAATACGTCCAAAGCTGCACCACCACATTGACCAGTTTTCAATGCATTTAGAAGTGCTTCTTCATCAACTATACCACCTCGAGCTACGTTTATAACATTCACACCTTTCTTACATTTTCCCAAGGTCGTAGCGTTTATCAAATCTGAAATAGAATTGTCCATCAGATATAAGGGTATAACATTGTATGATTAATTTTAGATTTATTTAGAGATCTCGTTACTTCTTGTTTGCGGGATTAATGGCGTATGGACAGTGATATAGTTAGCCACTTTCCATACTTCCTCCAAGCTAACTTTTTTAATTCCAAGAGATTCAGCATCTTCATTCTTTAGTAATGGATCAAAAGCAACGATGTTCATTCCAAAAGATTTCATTCTTATCGCTACTTCTCGGCCAATTCTGCCCATACCTAAGACTCCTAGTGTTTTACCAAACAATTCAAACCCAGAATATAATTTTCTATCCCATCTTCCTTCTTTTAACGATTGAGCCGCTTGAACCACGTTACGTGCTAATGCAGATATCATTGCACATGTTAACTCACAAGCACTTATACTGTTACCACCAGGTGTACTACAATTTCACAGATATAATCGTTCATAATCTTGATGATAAAAGGAAATGTAAACGAATTTAAGATTAACACTCTTACTTTAATACAAGGATTCCTTTGCGTGTTGCTGCTTGAAGATCAATGTTATCCACTCCAGTTCCAGCACGACCTATTACACGAAGATTCGAACTGGCGGATATTACATCAGGTGTGACCTTCGTCTCCGAGCGTACGATTAGAGCATCGTGGTTCTAGAAAAGAAATTATTATTATAATTAGCGAAGTATAAGATATAAGAATTATTATTCATTTTTATTATGTTATGTTGTTATATTTTATTTGAATTGTATATATATATATATATATATATATATATATATATATATATATATATATTGTAATTTAAAGTCGATTTGCTCATTTTCTCAAAAAACTAACAGTAAGCCACAAATGAAAAAATGTTATTCTATTATATTTTTTTTTTATTTTTTTTTTATAAGGAATCATCTCGTATCCGCTTCGTACATAGTTTCCGGACTTGTATTCTGTGTATTATAATAATATCTCATACACACACACACATACATATATATACATATATATTGTGTTATATTTTTTTATTAGTTTAACTCATTATTATATTGTAATAAGCAAAATTATCTATCATTGATCTATATTAATTATATCATAAAATATGTTATATTTTGAATGAACGTTCGTTTCTTTAAAATTCTAAATTATAGTTTATTCCAGTCTTATTTTTTCTTAAAAGTATTACATCAAAAGTTGGAGATCAAAGTTCAAAATGTCGAATCGTTAAAAAAATTGTAGCAATTTTTCTTTTCTCTTTCTCTCTCTCTCTCTCTCTACATATATACTTATTACATACGTGTGGGTATATATATATATATATATATATATATATATATATATATATATATATGTCTATAAAGATCTATCGAGTCGGAAAGTTTCATGTAAGGGTATAAGCAATTTCTGCGCCGATGCGTTGCCTGTTGAAATATAAAGGTAGAAAGATATGAAGTGGGAGTATGAATGCTACAGAATAAGAAATGAAACAAACTAGCTGGCAAGAGGAAAGAAGATAGGAGAAATAAAGAGAGAAATAGTAAGAGAGAGAGAGAGAGAGAGAGTGCGTGATGGAGAAAGAGAGATAAAAAAGAAACAGAGTCAGGCTGCTATGGTACAACGACCTATGCAGTTAACCGGTATTCTGCCTCCTCGACAAAACTGGATATAACCGGATTCGCAGAGTGGATTGCAAACGATAAAAGAAAACGAACGAATAAACGACGTTTGCGAGATTATTGGAGTGACAGAGAGGGAGATACTGAGATAGAAAAAGAAAGGGAAGAACTGGAATGAGGAATAGTCATAGAGAGAGAGAGACAGAGTGATGAAGAGGGAGAGGGAGAGTGAGAGAGAGAAAGAGAGTGGCAGGGAGGAGGTAATTGGTTTAGCAAAAATTGCATACGTATTCTTACAAGATACACTTATATGTACATAATATTATGCTTGATAAATATCAATTTATAGGCAATAGATGATTCCTATTTTTTTTTTCTTTTATTTTTATCCATCTATTTTGTAATCTAGGTACGAATTATGAAAATGAAAATGAAAGTGAAATGATGCAGTTTTTTTTCTGAAAAAAAGAAAAAAAAATGCATACTTTCGCAAAGAAATATTTTATTTTGTATATGTATGTACGATTGTTCATGCATACTTTATATGTCCGATAAATTTCAATTTATGGATAATAGATGATGATTTCTATCAATCAATTTTATCTATCAATCTCGTAACCTTGGAATTATGAAAGTGAAATTGAATGGATGCAGTTTTGAAAAGATTGCATACTCTTGAGAGAAATATGTCGTATATAAACATATTTTATATATTTTTGTTAAATACTTATTTATGAATGTGAAATGTTCCCTATTCTCTTTTTTCTATTCATCTATTCTGTAATCTTGGATATATAAAAGTGATATCGAAAGGATGCATTTTTGAAATGATATAACTTTTATTATATAGAAAAAAATATTTTCAATTAATTTCTTAAGAATCTTCATTATTCGTTAGAATAATACGAAATGATTCGAAGGATGGAACGCAAATGCCGATGAAAACCTTGATTAGATTATAAAGTCTAATTGAAAATGCAATATGTACTAACTCAGGAATAAATTTTAAATGTCTTATATATTTATTCAAGTGCGAAATGGAAATAACAATTTGTAAATATTTTCACTTTCCATTATATCCATTCATTTTCTTGTCTTTCGATATCGAAAAACAAAATACATTTGATATATACTTTTATAATAAATTGAACAATTTTGTCCAGATTAATCAAAGTGTTTTGAATTTGATAAGAATATAAATGGCTTTTTTATCGCTGCAATAGAAAAAAATTAAAAACTGTGAATTTTCTAGCTTTATCATAAAGAAATTGTATGAAAAAAAATTTGAAAAAAGAAGAAATAATTTTTTTTTATTTAATCTTTAAATAAATACTATTCAATTTAAGAAAAAGAAAAGAATATTCGAATATTTTTTCAAAGATTGATTAATTTTATATCAGAAAGATTGATCAAATCGATACGAACTCTTGACTTCAAAGCAATTAAATTTTTCTAATTCATTGATTGGAACAAATGTAAAAGTAATAATGAATAACGTATCGTTAAACTTTGTTTATTTTATTGAACAGATAAAAGGACAACAAAGAAAACTTGTTAAATTTTTTGAGATGTTTCCTTACGTAATTACCTGTAGTTCCTTAATAAGTTCATCTTTTGAAAGTTTGTATTTCGTAGTTACAGGAATTCCATATTCAGAAAGCAGAGAGCTACAGGACTCGTCCACAGGGTCACTTATAAGAACGCTTCTCAAGTTGATAGACATGTTATCCTTGAACAAAAAATAGCCCTTGAAAGATGTTTACTTCGAGATAGAAATAATAAGCGAAGTAAATAATATTCTATGTGTATTTACAAAGTTTCATGTGTTTATGTGTGTAAGAAATATTATATTTCCAAATCGTAATAATTACGATAGATAAAGGCATATGTTTAATAAATAAGTAAATATCTTAAGATTACATGCTTCTCGAAAAATTTGTATGATTTTTATTGAAACTACTTTAAATTTATTGCAAATCTTTTTTTTTCGTTTTTTAAATTACAAATTCTAATCTAAATGTTTCTGGAAAAATTGTAATGAATTCAAAATTTATTATACTTTTTATTTAATTTTAGAAAAAATATCTATAATATGTGTACATAATATATTATAGCAGTTAAACAAGCGATTTACGAACATAAGAAACATAATATAAAAGTATATGTAGAAACTATCGTATTCCGAATGTTACCTTGAATTTAATATCTATATTGAGTTTACGCAATAATACAGACTGCCTATTATTTATAATTACAGATAAGAATATCATTTTTTCTACTTTTTTTTTTTTCTCAAATCGAATATGCATGTCAAAAGTATATATATCTCATTCACATTATTTTTACAAGTGTCTAATATTTGCAAAATGACGTCATTCGACATATGTTCCTTTAATGAACAAAAAGAAAAAAGAAACTAAAAAAAAGAGAAAAGAAAAAGTAAAAATAAAACGAAAAACAAATAAAATAAATCGGTTCTTCGATAGAACTATAGTATAGAAATTTTTATAGTTCTTATAATTAAAATTATAATGCTAAAAAAAGAATTATAATTTTAAAATAATAATTTAAAATCTTGAGAAAAAGAGAAACGTACCTTCACGTAAAATGTAGAACGTAGATTTTCGTAGAAATTTTAATTATTTCACAACTATTTTTAGTATATTTACTAAGAAAAATATCTTTGGTGTTCCTTCCTCGATGCTGGTTTGGAACCTAACTGCTTCGTTCTATCGTCAATTATCTTCTTATAGCCGAACTCCCACTCTCAAGATAGGAGCGAGGGAAGCACGAACTCCTTGTCTTATGTTAGCTATTTGCTTGTTTATTAAAGATTTAGATCGATCACATATATTTTATTTAGTGAAATTTGTGCGAATCAATTTTAATTCTAAATAGAAGATCGATAATAATCTAAAGATCTATTATCAACTTCTAAAAAAAAAGTCCCCTTTGAAAAAATCCTTAGAAAAAAAAAATAATTCACTTATCGAATAAAAATAAACAGACCAATGTATCTTTAAATTATGCATTACGAAATTATTTTTTTTTTAAGAATTGATCAAAATAAGAGTTATTTATTTATTCTTGTAATATATTGAAACATAAGTATGTATGTCTTTTTTACTGCGTCATCTTTTTTTTATTAATCAATTGAACTTCAGTCTGAATTTATCATTTTTTTCTTTTTTTTTTTTATGTCAATCATCTTGCCGAAGAGAAATAATTAAATACGAAATAATTTCAATCTTTTAAATGTCAAAATCTATTTTTCTTCTGCTTGAATATTAACTATGTATATGTACCCACACAACGATATTATAATATTCTTACAAATTTGGATATTTATTCAAAACGTAATAAAAAGCAATGTAATAATTAATAAAAGAATAAAAAGAAAAAAAAATTCACGAATTTCTGTATTTGTTCCTGCATATAGAAAAGTATAAATAAATTAAAGAAATGATTGAATTAACACGATAACAAGGCGCAAAATATATTTTCTATTCATGGTAGGGTCATACGATGTCGAGTGATGCAATCGTTGCTGGGGGTCTGATTGAAGAATAATAATTATTATACTTATTATACGATAATAGATCTACGTATCTTGTGTACTTGGCAGTTTTTTGTCCACTCCTTATCTCTCCCTTCCTCTTTTTTTTTCTCTGTCTCTTTTTTTCTGTTTATCTACTTCTAAATTCTTAGAAATTTTGAAATTTCTCAATGTAGTTTACGCATGTTAACCAATGATAAAAATATTGTCGTGCCTTTTACCGAAAAATAATCGATTTTATGGGATCGATAGCGCTAACGATAACATTATCGTATAACGTTTCTCTATTTCTTCCTATATATTTAGAAACGATTATTGTTATCGGTATACATCATATAATACATATTTTTTTTTATGAAAGGTATTTCGTTTCTTCTACCTATGGAAAGTATTTTTTACGTATGGAAAGTATAATATTTTAAAATTTTACATGAATGGGAATTGTTAATGAATGTGTATTTTAGATAATGAATTTGTACATACATACATACATATGTAGGTATATATTCGGTTACCTTTTTTATTTGGTATTATTCGAGACTGACATTAAAATTTTTTTAATAAATTCTAACTTATTAGTTAAAATTAATTGGAAACTTATAAATAAATTTAAACATTAAAATTGAAATATTTATCAATTCGTATTCAATTGTTCAATTTCATATTTGTATTTTTAATAAATAGACACATATACGGTGATATTTATTACTACATCATTGCTATATACGAATTTGAAAAATCTGAATTTTTCAAGATAATCTCAGATAATGGTGCTACGTTTATGAAACGAATTATTCTCTTCGAAATAGAAAGCTATATTTTCCGTTGCGCGCTTTACAATGACGTCTCTTTAAAATAATGAAATGACACACTTAATCATATCGACGAGTTAAAGGAACATTTAACTTAGGGTACCCCCAGCAGAACGAACGTATAAAATTATCTTATCCTCGGCGTATGGAAAATAACTTGCTTGACATATTCATCTGACATAAATTTCTTTCATTTGTATGATTCCATTCAAATCTCTATAATAACATTGATTAAAAATTATGTATGTGTATATATATATATATATATATATATATATATAATGATCTATAATCGTATTCGTTTACCTATATGTTAATGTTATTAAGAATATTTTACTTGAAAACATCCGATTTGGTTTATTATTAAGTAGATAAATAGTTATCCTTTTAATAGGAAGATAAAAATTGATACGACCGGTATTGATATGTCGGATCAACTAAGAATCTTTTTTCTTTAATACCAGTTTACACTGGTTAAAAGCTTGTGAACTCGAGACCTCATCGTTATAGATAACGCTCTTAAAAAGAAGAAGAAGAAAAATATATATATATGTAATACTTCTGATAATTCTCACATGATTCGAGCGAGTAAGAAAAAGATTTCATTTCAATCAAAAAAAGGAAGGAGAATATATGTATATCTATGTTACATATGTGCCATTAAGAATGCATGTTTATATTTTTTTTTTTCTTTATGCACTTTATACTTTGATCTTTCACATAGAACCAACATGAAGCATGATCTTATTCGATAAGATAATATGATTAATTTTCGATACAAATATTTTTTAACTATTTCCAAATTTTTGAGACATAGTCTCCTGACGTCGTCTTCTTACATACATACATATGTAATTTATCGAGATATCAGGAACTTTGATCATTTGATATTAAAGTGTGTACTGAAATTTTCTTGATGTATCTAATTTTAATAAAACACGCACACACACACGCACGCACGCGCACACACACACACACACACACACACACACAACCACTTGTATATATGTATATCCTCTTTTTTCTTCTGTCTTTCTTTTTTCCATTTATCTTTTTTCTTTCTTTTTTTTTCTCTCTCTCTCTCTCCTCTCTTTCTTTCTTTATCTTATATTCAGTAGACATTTTACATAATAAAAGCTTGAACTCTTGTTCTTAATTCGGATACATTCGAAAGGAGGTGACAGTAGATGGTAAGTGTACGGTTGATACCGTAAATCGTATGAATTATATATATGTATGTACTTACGTAGTATGCATATTCGTGCAAATGTTCTAGCACGTAGGTAACATGTAGAAAAGTTATTTCTGGTATTAGGTATTTACTTTAAGCGACGACATTGACAAGCTCTTATAGGAATTTCAAATTAATTCGATCCGGAATAAAGAAAAAAGTTCTATAATTTGTATAATAAATTAACTGTTATCACATTAAATTATCGTTATCACATACCGATGACGTCGTTGTTGTTGTTGTTGTTGTTGTTTTCTATAGGTTATTCTATGATTAGCTTCATCGTCTATATGAACTTTGAGACTTGATAATATTTCCAAACTACAGGGTTTATATATAAATGGATATTAACTTCATTTCGTGCTTTTTTTTATCATCATTTTATAATGGAAATAATTTATGTATTTCTCGATGATAAGACATTTCTTTTTTTCTTTTAAAATCATCTTCACACGCTTCTCAAATTGTTAAACATATCTTAAAGTATTAAATTGCAGCTACGTTATCGTTCTCCAATTTGTCGAATTCAAGTTCTGGTCGAGTAAACCCAGATAGATAAGTCAAATTAATATTGTTATTTTTAATGAGTATATCAGATCGTCATTAGATATTTTTCTCATAAGTATTCCTTCTTGATATGGTATGCGTTGTACAAGGACTCTTTTATATGCGTTGTATCGAACTCAATCGTACAAGTAAACTGTGAGGAAAGAGATTCCCGTTGGTCCCGTTTTCTTGTCTTGTTATTTCTCCACTAGTACAACCAGTTACACCCAATCCACCTGCTGTACGATCTCTACCTTTGCAGCAAGGAATTTCTCTCATTCCTTCGCGGAAGTTACGTGAAAGGAAGGCATAGAGAAATGGATTCAGACAGCAATTCGTATAAGATATCAAGAAAGTCGATACAGTCAGTAGAGTAGTGAAATTAGAAGTTCGATCGTAATATGGTCCCCAATGTAGCCAAATTATGCGAACTTGTTGTGGGAGATTGCAAAGTGCAAAAAATACTACTACGGCAATCAGCATCCTGTTAAATAAATATATATATATATATATATATATAAAATTTGGAATTAATTTCGAAGTAAAATATAAATCAATATATCCATGTTACGATAATATCTAAGTATGCATCATATTTTTGTAAGCATGAATATTTGCATAGAAATACATATCTATGATCTATGCATATTTTTTATATATATTTATGTATGTACGTACATATGTCTGAATTTACGTATGTGTATATACGTATCTATCAAATCTAACTTTTTATGCAATTTTTATTTAACATCAGCTAAAGATCAGCATAATATATATATATATTATGCACTTTGTACATCTAAATTTAAAAATTATGTATTTTCTTTAAAAGGACGTTGATTTAGAGCGAAATAAAATTCGAAAATAAATCATTATTACGAGGGAAAATATATAGACGTGGCAAATCGTCTTATCGATAATCTGCTCGTTCGAATAGATGGAGGATATTTGATCATATTGATTGACGATTCGTTGTCGATTTAATATTTTTTAAGACATGAATTTTATATGTGTAAGAAAAATAAAAAGTATGAAAGATGAGCTTGAATGTAATTTGGAAAAAAAAAGAAAAAAAAGAAAAAGAAGAAAAAGAAGAAGAAGTAGTAGAAGAAGTAAAAGTAGAACTAGAAGAAAAAGAAAAACACGATAGACGAGTAAAATGAAAAGAGAAATGAAATGCGAAAGGATATATATATATAATGAAATGCGAAAGGATATATATATATATATATATATATATATATATATATGGGTACAAATAAACCGGTATATACGTATATAGGGTGGACTGAATGTTCCTAGATGACTTTAAAAAACAATTACGTTAATCCTTTTTTCTTCTTTCAGATTGCAAAACAACAATGGACATTCTTTAACAACCTAAAAAACAAATCGGTCTAAAAATTAGCATCGGAAAAGTGTAATTGATTTTTAAAATAAAATTTAGAAACTATTGTCCCACCCGATATTATATAGGTATGCATACAAGACAATAAATAAAGTAGTAAGCGTAGCAGTAATGTACATATATATGTGCATTTATGTGTGTGTGTGTGTATTATTCAAGAAACAGCGAAAAGAGAAAAGACAATTTTCAAAGATGAATACCTTATGACTCCACGTCTTGTTCTGAGAACCTTCCTGCAAGAGGTATGAATATGTTGAATTCTACCATTTCTAGTTTCGGCTACAAGGCCAGGTCTACCGAGAGCAGCACCGCTTCTCCAAAGACGGACAGCTATTTTTGTATAGAGATAGGACATCAGTGCCAGTGGTAAGAGATAAAGGAAGATGAAGTTGAAAGCATCTAAGACATGTTTCTTGTATTTCTTCATATTAGGTCCGCAAATGATATCGACATTGCCGTCGCTCAGTTCATTGCTGATTGTTTCAAAATAAATAAATCTTGGTGCAGCATATAATGCCGCTATTATCCATACAATACCAATGACTGCTCTTAGACGACTTGTGGTTAACATCGATTTACATTTCATTGGATGTACCGTTGCCAAATATCTTTCTATGCATACTACCATTAATATCAAAATGCTCGCCGTATAGGATAATGCATGAACGAACATATAAACTTTGCAGAGGAAGTTACCTAATCGCCAGCTATTCATCAAATAATTTATTAGAGTTTGGTAGACGCAGAATATGCCGACACAAAAGTCTGCTACTGCTAAATTTGCCAAGAAGAAGTTTGTAATGTTTGGTAAGCGACGAGAAAACGTCACCACGAGTATTACCATTAGATTACCTGAAACAGATAGTTAATCTAAGTTAGTTGGATTGAATAGACATCTTCGAAACGTTATAATGAATGATCTAGCATTTTTTCATTTTTCTTTTTTCTTTTTTTTTTAAGATTTAAATATTATTCTTATCAAATTTACTTTCGTTACTTTTTGTTTGTTTGTCTTTTTTTTCCTTTTTATATAATGAATATTATAAAAATATATGTGTATGCATGTATGTTAAGTTGGAAATCAATATTTTTATTGATGATCAAAATCTTATTCTTATCAAATATATATAATTTATGTTTCATATGTATACAAAAAAATTTTAATATAAAAAAATACATGTTTGTATTACTTATAATTTCATTCACATTTTGAACTTTTACATTCTAGGAATGAATAAACATCGATTATTGTCAAATTTAATTGATTACAATTATACTCGATACAGTTCTTAATTACCCTTTAGGTATATATGAAAGAATGATTTGATAATAATTAAATAGAAACGGGGATGATAAAATAAAATAAAATAAAAATAAGAAAAAAGAAAACAAGTAAATCCTAAAGTTTTTCTAATAAACAGATTAAAATTTATTGCAGTATTTGCTTTCTTATTTCATTAAACGATAAATCAGATGTTGGAATTATCTTAATATATTGCCTCTCACGTCTGCGGTTTACAATTATTCTAGGAAATCCTTGCATAACGATGAGCCAAAGATCCGTTAATCCGAATGTATTTAAGGATCGATCGATCTCGTACCAATATCAATTCATATTATAGTTCCATTATCGTAAGTAGAAAATAATAATAAACATTAATTAATTCATCTAATTTATCGTATACAATTAAAAGAATTTATATTAACGTTTTATCTTTAAATTTTCAGAAAAGATAATTTGTTGAATAATTAAAATTAAAACAATCTTTATCACGTTTTTATCTTAACATTTTAATGAAAAATAATTTTATACTTTCATCTTAAGGCTACTTTTCGTCTCGCAGACACTGGTGAGATTATATTAGTATCATTTTTCAAGATTTTCGCCCCTTATATCTAATACCTCGTAATAATGATTAATCGTTTTGCTTGTTCAGCATATACTCCAAGGAAAATATTCTTCCTAAGTATCTTGTTGAATATGGAAATTATACAAAACAGGTAAAAATATTATTTCATATACTATATATATACATATATATATATATATACATATATATACATATATATACATATATACATATATATATGTATACATATGTATATATGTATATTTGTATATAAATGTATATAAATGTATATTTTATATATATTTTAATATATTGACTACCAAATATCTTTATGATTATACAAAAAAAGAAAAAAAGAATAAAAAAAAAGACCAAAATGCTTAGACGTATTAAAAGAATGGATACACGATGTCTTCGTTATTTTATTTATCTTTATCGTATTTATGTCAAATAAAACTGTTTATAAAATAGCTGTGTCATAAGCGAACAAAACCGATTATAAAATAGCTGTGTCATAAGCAAACGAAACCGATTATCGGAAAGTAGCTTTTCATGTATTAAAATGTAATTTCAAAAAAATATTACTAAACGTTAATTAAAAGAAAATAAAGGAGAAAGAGAGAGAGAGAGAGCGAGAGAGACAGACAGAGGGAGGAAAGGTGTTAGGGAGAAAGAGACAACGGTGCAACGACACAAGGTTCACCTTGTTCCACTGGCTCTTTCTCAATTTGATGCCGATCACGTTCGATCCCTGCTTCGAGTTTTATTGCTTAGCAATGCTACCGTCTTGTATTGTGCCTGTAAGTTGCTCGTACGATTGTCGAATGACAATGGGACGTCATCATCCGAAGAAAAAAGAAAAAAGGGAAAAAGAAAATGAGAGAAAGTAATTCGAAGGAACTGAAGGGAAGAAAAAAGAAAAGAAAAAGTAAAAGAAAATGAAGAAAAGCAAGCTCAAGATCGTACATATGTATATATATATATATATATATATATATATTTATATATATATATATATATATATTATATACCTATATATATATATTTATATATTTTCTTTTTTTACATGTCTTAAAGTTCGAACGAAAGGCAGATTTTTTTTTAAATTACATTGATAAAGTAAATAATAATCGTAAGAGAAGTAGAAGAAGACTCAACGACTTTAATATTCAACGTCTCAACCATTACCGTTTATTCATGACGTCTTCTCTAATCTCTCTTTCTCTTTCGTACCTATTTTTTTCTTAACCGTACGGGATTTTCGAAAGAAGAAGAAAATATGGCCATGTCTAAAAGTACTCCACTTTTGCGGCGGATCCCTTCAAATCGTAAATCCATGAGCCATTAATTCTACCTATTCGACAGTGTTCTTCGAGTGAACATTCTTTTAAATCGTTTTGTTATAAATATACTCTAGAAGGATCAAAAGAAATTTGGAAAAAATCTAATTTAATCTCTTTACAATTCGAACGTAATGTGTCTATTTTTATTTACTATTTAACATAATACAGATCTTCAGTGAAAAAAGAGAAGTGACGACTATTATGATTGGAGTATAATAGGTATACTAAATCGTTTAGTTTTATTGGATTTCATTGGTTAAAGTGGAACATGTGGTGAAATTTTTAATGTTTTATATTTAAATAAAAGAATAATAGTATGTTTCAATTATACATAATAATAATAATAATAAAAATAATAATGTAAAAAGAAATATATTAGGATTGGTTGGTAATTAATCTATTTGAATTTTCAGTATTTCATACATAGGTATAAATATATATATATATATATATATATATATATATATATATATATATATATATATATATATAAGTAAAATAACAAAAAAGCAACGTTTAAATTAATAGAAAGTATAAAATAATAACAGTGTAATACTGGGTTGGCCAATAAATAATGTTGCAATATTTAGTAAAAATAAATCCTTCAATATTATTTCTTAAATATTAAATATTAAAAATGTTACAATTTCTACAAAAATACTAATGTTGCTTTTTTTCATAAGATATATGATTAAAAAGATATATTAAAAAGATATTAAAACTATTTATATATAAAATACAATAAAGTTCAACTCTACAGATATCAATTTAAAAGTAATCAAATAAATGATGACTCACATATATCCCTTTTTATTTTCTTTATAGTAAAATAAAATTGGACTTGTAAAAAGAAATAAAATTGTCTCCTCGTAGAAGCAAGTTAAACCTTCAGCAATTTATTTCTTTACTCTTTATTTTCGTTCTGGCTATCGATACATTGGAGAAAAGACGTGTCACATGTCTAGCAATAAATATAAGCAGCCCTCCAATAACATGTTTAATTCGTATCATGTTATATGGAAGTCATATGATAAAACGATATTTCGAATTTTTTGTAAATTCAACTCAAATTTCAGTAAGATTTCAATGATCGTGTAAGATTAAATCATAATAAATGAAATATCAGTAATATAGGATATTTGTATATACAAAGATACATAGAAAAAAAAAAAAAAAATTATAAGACATATGCAGAGTAAATAAAATTTTTCAAATAAATGTAAAACTCTATTATGTACCGTAGTAAATAAAATATTTTTACTATTTTGTTTATCAAGTACGTCTTAATAAATTAAAATAATCTTTAGGTAAATTTTATTTGTCAAATGTCTTAGTAAATAAAATTGTAAAAAAAAAAGAAATTTGAAATACGATGTAAATAAGTTTCGCGTTGTACTAATTCTGATATATGTATAATATCAATTAGTTTCATATCCTAAATTATGTTAAAATTTGAATAAAAAATTTTGATTTCAATTAAAGATAAGTCGAAACGTTCATTTGAGATTTTTATTAACTAAATTACATAAATGGACCAGAACTATATCCAGTAGTTTATGAATTCCTTTAAAACTTTCTAAAGAACTCGATAAAGATTATTATAAAAGCTGATGAAGTATCGATTTCAATAATGAATGATCAATAAAACCGTTCGTAAATAATTTGAAAATTGTCTCGAATTATTTTTTCCCCCAGAAATTATAATAGAATTTAAAATGAAATTTTTAAAATACATAAAAAAAACTTAAACGATAAAATTCTTCTTGAAATTTCTTTTTCCTTCTTTCCTTCTTCTTCACATTTTTCTTTTCAATTTAAAATTTTTCTTCATTTCAAAACTGAAAGTAAAATTGACGTAAACTATACAAATTGTTTTAAACTTATACAAATAACTTGTATAAATAAAATCGTACTATATATGTATATAAAGGAAGATAACTGATTTACAAATGACATTTCAGGTTAATAAAATTTATTTTTCTAACTCTTTGTGAAATTAAATTAATTGAGTTAAATAGAAAGAAATTGACAGAAAGGATAATAGAGACAAAGACAGAGAATAAGGACATACATACATGTATACATACATGTATACATACAATATATATCTGTTCTTTTAGGGCGATCATATACTCAAATATAACTGATCTGTACTTGTCTGTGGCAGATATCTTCAAACATAGACAAGCTTGATTGGCCGACTGTCAGAAATCAAAAGTATATGATACTAATTGTAAGTTGAATCACGAAGTATTAGCTGGTACCAACGTCGCAAGGGAAATTAATCGACTTGAACTTATGAATGACTGAGAGAATTTATAAATGGTCAATGGGAGAAAATGAATGAACTGTATATGTGTGTATATAGGGGCGTTAGTGGAGAGGGAGAAAAGAGAGAATAGATACGAATAGAATTATATTATGCAGATAGGAAAGTATAATTTGACGTTTATCTACATATATTCTCGAAATATTAATTTCAATAGTACTCTGATATTCTTTTCTTTCAACTTAAATTATCGTGTTATCGTATATTACAATTTCACAAAATTAGTTTCATAATGGCATTGTCTTTGTCAAAATAATGATAATATTTAATACTAGTAATAATAAAATTGATGTTAATATATTATTTCTTTTTTATCCAAATAAAATATAT